AGCAACCCCCCGGCCCATCCAAGTGCCACATGAACTCTGCAAGCAATTGCGCAGGCAGTTCGTTGAGCCGATCGCGCGGGAAGCAAGCATCTTGCCAGCATGCACGCCTGCCGTCCGCATTGTGCTTGTAAAGCGATTGCACAGCAATCTGAGCTGTCCTTGCTTCCTGCGGCAGGTTCTTTGCATGTTTGTTGATAAGCGTAAGTAGCAGAAAAAGCGAAAGCATGTAGAGCCTTCCAGACTGGAAGATGTGAGGATGACGTGCCGCTCCGCATGCAGAGCACGGCCCCCGCTTGAAGAGACGCGGGTGTCCCCTCGACGGCGGCAGCGCAGTCTCTTCGATGGCTTGCTGTATTTCCGGGTCGTGCTCGAGCTGCTGCGTGGACAGATTCGCCCAGTCGAGTCCCTGCGAATGCTTCGCACTTTAGACAGGTTTGGTGTTTATAGGGTTTTAGGGTTTAGGGTTCAGGGTTTAGGGTTTAGGGTTTAGGGTTCAGGGTTTAGGGTTCAGGGTTTAGGGCAGAAGTGTAGGGGTTTAGGGTTTAGGATGGTCCTGGGAAGAATTCTGTGGGGCAGCAAGCGGTCCCAGATCAGAAGCAGCAGCCGCAGTACGAGCGCGAGCCGGGGCTTCCAAGGCATGCGGACTCCACGTAGCTGCACCGAGCTCTTCGTCCATGTGAACGACCTGTGGGTTCGGAGTTTGCATGTCGCGACATGGGGTTTACATGCTATTGGGTGTACATGTTTTAGGGGCTTGGGTTTAGGGTCTCGCAGCAACCTGAGAAGAAGCAGCAAGCCCAGCCGGCGTCTCCAACGGCTCTCGACTCGAGTTGTCCGTGCAGGGCTCGTCTATGCGCGGGGACCTGTCGAAAGTGTGTGTGTTCGTCAGGGTTTGTCAGGGCAAAATCAGAAGGAGCTCTAGGAGACATCACAGGATTATCACAGGAAAATCAAACTGCCATGAAAGATTTCTCACGGGAAAATCAGAAGCGGCCTCGTCGTCAGAGGAGTCAGCCACAGCGACCACAGCAGGCTGAGAGGAACAACCTTGCAAGCCAGACCACTGAGCTGCGTACCAATCCTTGAAGTGCCGTGCCGACGGACTATCCTCCCCGCGCACTGGGGAGGAAGGAGGGCCGTAACTGAGCCAACCTGCCAACGTTCTTGGACTGGGGCTGCCCGCAGCGACGGAAGGCCGACGCGGGTGAGTGACCGGAGCTGCGAGGTCGGTGACAGTACCACCGTGCTGCTGCAGAACAGACTGGTCCTCAGCAGCTCCAAGAGGCCGCCAGGAATCTATATTCGCGGCCGTCTGGAACCAAGCACGCCACTCGGGCAGCGTCGGCGGACCTTGCATGCTGCTAGCCAAGCCAAACCGCTGCTCCAGGAGAATGCCCATGTGCAGAGCCCGCGAAACAACTTGTGCCGGCAGACGGTGCTGCACTGTGCTGCCAGAGCAGTCCAAGGTATGGCTCCTCGGCCCCGTTGACGCTCCTCGTAGAGCAAAGCGAAGAAGACCAGGCTCTCCGCTGACAGAACGTGAGGACAACGCAACAGCACATACCAAGAATCCAGGAGTTTCTGTTCGGAAGTGGCTTCCAGACGCCTCAGACCACTCGGCAAGCGAATGCCTGCACTGCGCAGCACGATCACAAAGTTGAGACAAATGCTCAGCCAAGCAAGGCCATGCTGGAAAGGCTGCATGAGCACAAGCTGGCAGGAAAACCGAAGAGTTTCCAGGAAGACTGCTTACAACGATAGGATTCGCTAGACAGTGCGGTTCAGACGCATGTGTCACACGACTGCTGGCATGTCTGACTTGAATGCTGGAGTTCAGCCGGATGTTGAAGATGTCTGACTTCCTGCACCCCTCAGACATGACAGCAGAAACATGAAGAATGCTGACTGGAAGACAGACCCCGAACGCTGAAACAGTCTAGGGTCCCAAAGCCCTCATAGAGGGAAGGCGTCTGAGAGGAAGAGGAGCCCATGAACGTCATCAGCCTCCCCCCCCTCCCCCCTCCCCCCCCTCCCAAAAGCAACGAATCAACTTAAGCCGAAGCCAGCTCTTCCCCGCAAGCCAAGCCAAAGCCAGACCTTCTGCAGGTATGGCGCTGAGCTGACGGCTGTCGGGCCGTAGCTGCATAATATTATATAAATAAATATGTGTATAATATTTGTATACAGTATATGTATACACACACACACACACTTAAACACTTATTTTCTATGATTTAGAAACAAGCACTAGAGGCTTAGCTTTGATGTTGAGTATAATACTGCACCTCGGCTGCATTTAGACTTTTCTGGAACTTCGCTTCTCTTAGTTTGTAATGCTCATGCTGCTTCGACTGAGTCTCATGATGAAGTCAGCTGCACAAAGCCGTTGATGCAGCAATGTCGGATTAAGACTTGTTTGGCGGTGTTTCATGCTTTAGCGGTAGAGAAACATGAAGCGGTCGTCGGCAGTGGCGGGTTTCGTTGAGTTCGAGAACGGGGTGTGTAAGCTCCAGCTCACCAGCGTTGACCTCGCTACAACTACTTCTGCTTCTTCTTCCAC